AGGCAGATTCGAATTGCATGCTTCTTTCTATTTGTTTTTCGAATTAAGTATTGTTTTTGTGACTACCAGTAAATCAGTAGTATGAAATGTATTCACACAATTTCGTTTAAGGTGATGAACGACTGGTAGGAGAAGAATTTCCCCACAATTGTCAAGGAAGGCCAGGCCTTTATGCTATATCATATTTTTTTGGTGGAATTGTCGATGAAGCAAACGCATATCTACTATAAAAATCGACTAATATACTTTATTTTTCGAATTAAGTATTGTTTTCATGACTACCAGTAAATCAGTAGTATGAGATGTTTTCAGCCAATTTCATTTGAGGTGATGAACGACTCATATAATTGTGGGAAAATTCTTCTTCTACCAGTCGTTCATCACCTTTACCGAAATTGGGTGAATACATTTCTTTCTATTTGCCCATTTTTCGTTGCTATTAATGCTCTCCAGACTGCCAATGAGATGCGTCCACCCCAATTCGTTAGGAGTATTAGTCAGCTGATGGGGTGAAACTTCACCTACCAGACCTCCTGTCAACGTACACTAACTTTGGCGCATACATTTCTTGTGATGCCAGTTTCCATTTCGAAGGAGAAGTTGGCCAGCACGAATTCGTGAGCTGGTCCAACCGGAAAGCGAAGGGCAATGGCCGCGGAGTGAAGAGAAGAATGTTCGATTGGGCCGCGGCAATCCTCCTTCTGCATTTGGGAACAGCCAATCTACCAATTCGCACAATCATTTCGCCATTCAAGAGTACCACTTGACCTTTCTTCTCTGCTTTCGTGTCGACCTGCCGACGAGTTGATGGGTTTTTATTTCCAAACCACTTTTCCTTTGAACTGCAAAGTCATGCGGCAATATATTGTTCGAGAGCCGCTCCTTCTTCATTCAATTCAATTTCTTTTTGTCCAACTCCGTTTGCAACCATCGAGTTCTCGCGCGGCTCCGTCTCGACATGGGCTCTCTCGGTCCCAGCTCCGGTTGCGGCTTGATTGTGCTTCGTTTTCTTGTGCTTGTTTGCGACTTCGACGTGGACTCGAGCAACTCGAGTAACTCGAGCTCTTTGAGGCCATGAAGTGTGCCGGCAAGCAGACGCCGGTTGGTCTGACAGCCGCATTCTCTCTCTTTCAGGTCGTCAAAGCGCCCTCGCCGTGTGACGGGGTCGAGCCCGACGTCGCTCGCCGCTTCCATCCCGCCTTCGGATTGGACGAGGTTGACTCATCTTCCCAGCCCAGGGCCCTGCTGACCGGCCGTCGCACGGTGGCCCCTTTGCGGGTCTGCCTCGTGCAAACGATGATGACGACAACGGCGACGGCGACGGCGATGACGCACCCTCCACGGCTGAAGGTGTCGCATGCCGACAGTCGCGCCGGTCTCACCTCGAGACGCAACAGACAGCTCCAACGACCGAGGAGGGGCGATGAGCGAAAAGGCGAAAGCGACGGCGACGGCGAGGGAAATGGCGGGAGCGACGGCGATGCGATGAGTCACCCGCTGTCGGACGAGTTGGTCTGTCAGGTCCAGGCCTCATCGCCTCATGCCCTCGACGCCGCCTCGGCCATCGTATCCGCCTCCAGAGGCCTGACGTCTGCCGGTATCTCAGGCGACGGTCAGGGTGGGGGTGGGCAAGGGGTACTGTCGGTGTCGGTGAAGCTAACGCCAGGCGAGCTGCATCAGCTGGCCGAGTACTGGGAGCACGGTGTGTTCACGAGGTCGCGCAATTGGGCCACGGGCCTGGCGAGTCTGGCCTCCGTCTGCCTCGTCTACTCGGTCTGCGCCAACACGTGGGTCTACCACGGACCAGGTAAGTGTCATGAGATGACATGACATAAGATGAGATGAGATGAGATGAGATGAGATGAGATGAGATGAGATGAGATGAG